TCTGGCTTCTTTTCTGCAGCCAGTTCACAGTCCGTCTCACTACCTGATCACCCAGATCACACTTCCTCAGTTTAGCCGCGAGGATACTGTGGGAGACCGTGTCAAATGCTTTACTGAAATCGAGATAGAATGGTGGGATATACCCAGATATGTTGTACTAAAGTTCATTACAAATTGTTATTTCTGTCATGAAAAAATTCTTCCACCAAGTGTACATTTATTTATGGCTGTTAAAGATTTCTGTGCATAAAAAATCCCTGTTCCTGCTCCTACACTTGTTCTTAATATGACACCTTGTGGTTTACACTACCAAAGGCAAGATTAAAAATTCAAGAAAATGAGCTCTTTCACTAGCTAACCTATTTCCCTGAGTGATTTCTGACAATGTATACCAACTGGAAGGCAGTAGGGACAAAAGAGGCAGCTATTAGGTCATCGAATAAAGTTAAGTAGAGCTGTTAAGTGGATAGATAGGTGCATATTTATCAACAGTATGTGTGTCAATTTAAGGTAGGTTAAGTTATGATAAATATTTTTCCATGCCCTAGCATGTCTCCTCCATTACTGTTATGGTTCAAGCAGCACCAGATGTGTACTGAATAGTGCCGTGAAAGGTAAATGTAACAATTAAAATGGAAAGGGAGTGGGAATAATTTGTACAAGAATTCATAGGTTTGGGGTTTTCTTACCAATTAAATATTGATTATGCTGTTTTAATTCTCTGCGACATGTTTGTCTCATAACATAAAGAAAAGCAGTATGAAGGCTCCTTTTCTGTAAAAGTGAGTTCTGTAGATTCTAAGGCCTCTGTGAAAATTGTTTCTGTTTTAAAATCACTTTATCTTGTATTGATGATTCCTGTCATAAAATACAGACTATAGAATGAACACGTGTCAGCAAGCAGCACCAGTCATACTTTTTTTTTCCAAAGTGCTGTCGGAGATTATTTTTTTAAACTATTTTTAATTTTTTAGGATAAAGCAGAAAAAAGCATCTCTGGAGATGGGTGCCTTTTAGGGCACTGCGCTTTTGTCTTTCGTCTATCGGGACAGAATGCAGCTTTGTGTGACTGCAGATATCATATTAAGGTCTCTAAAGCTCTGGCTACCAGTGCTCACTAGCATCACTCTGCACTGGTTTGCATTAAAATGTTTTGGACAAAATGTTGGCAAAGGTCAGTAGCATGCTTTGCCTCCTGAGGTGCTTGGATCTGTTTTTTACAATAAAGCAGAGTGACCCTAGCAATAAATGAATTGCTTAGCAATGATTAGCTGCTTTATTGTTGAAAATCCTACTGTGTTCAGCCACCAGGTTTTGATTAACTGCATTGCTTCTGGTTCTTTCTGGACCATTTCCACATTGGCCAGGCTTGGTACTCTGGAAGCAGCTCCAGATGAACTATCTGAGCTGGTTATTGGCCAGTGTGGATTCTGTTTCTCCTTGGGAAAAAACAGCAGGGTAAGCACACTGAAATAATATTACTGAGAGCTTCTTGCTTGCCTAATACTGCCTGTCATTTTCCTTTGAATTTGTAAACAAGAAATTTTTGCAAATTATGAAATAATGAAGAATTTAGCTGCTTATAATTACAACTAGTAGGCTGATATTCATACAATCCAGAGATAAATGCTACAGATCTTGGCCCAGCTGGCAATGTCTTTTGAGGATGCTCAGTGCTGATGCAGAGTTGCTTCAGACCCAGGATTTGAAGAGAGGAGTTGAATGTGCAAGTTTCATTATGCTTCTCTGTCTGGCATCTAGCTCAGGAATGTGACCTCAGTGCCATTTATCTTTGAATGCAACCTTCTGCCAGAATTTTTAAGCATTTCTCTGAAGTTAACAAGTGAAGTTCTTTCCATGTTACTTTGGCTCTGTTTTCCAATATCATACTTGTTGTTCTAATTATGGGAAATGTAAAAGAACACCCGTACTTGTGGTCAGATAATGCAGAATGGTTTGTTAAAGGCATGAACTTCAGCTTTAATTTAGTATAAATCCTCTCTACTGCAGAAGCCAGACTGACTTTTTTAAATTCTGAAGCATGGTTATATGGACCAGAATGAGCCAGTGAAACAGACTTTTCCAGTTCTAAAGTGGAGTTTATCTGTGTCCTGTGAACTGAATGCATTAAGTTGAATTTTACCTCTCATTTGGTGGCAGAGCCTGCCCCTCAGCATTCAGTGTATCTGTTCTGACTGAAAAGTTAGATTTGGGGTTGTATTTACGTTATCCTTATTCTCCAGACCACTCTTACTGCTTTGTGATACCATTTCAAAATAGGAAGCAAAAGCCTGATCAGTTTGTGTCTTTTGTGAGATCTGATAGTTGGAAATTCTGGTCCATCTTATTTGTTATTATTTTCCCCTCTCCTTGCAGTTCTCGGCAGTTTCTTGCATGACATTGCTGCTGTTCACTGTTCTTTTAGTTAAGTCTAAAGCTCTTTCATAAAGTTTTCCCCATTCAGTCTGGGAAACAAAATTCTGAATTGTTCCAGCCCTTTGCATATTTAACTCAATTCCAGGTTTCCTGTGCTCTTTGAGCCATCTGAACTAACAGAGTAGCTTACAGTCTTTGTACAGACTTGTCCTTTAGAAATCAAAAGCCTTAAAGACATGGTTGGGTTCTTTGGATTAGTCTAAATACTTGATTCGCAATTACTTGTTCAAGATTGTTCTTACAACCAGTACTTCTGTAATGGCCTTGTTACTCACCAAAACTGAAGTACTACGTGGTCTTGCTTCGTGTTGTTTCAGTTGTGAGTGGATGAAGAAGCATCAGCTTTCAGAACCTGGGGTCTGGTTTTGCTTAGCAGCCGTTGTTTCTCTCACCTATCTATGGGAGGTTAATCTATGTATTTCTCTTAAGTCCTACAGGAATCTCTGTTCAAAATTCATCTCTGTGTATGAATCAAACAGTAATTCTGCAGTGAAGTCTGTCATACAGCTCTTAACAGTCTTTGTTGAAAACCTGCCCTTTTTTAATGTAACCCTATTTCTTTGTGGGGAGAAGAGAAAGGACTGTGACGGTTCTTAGTGCAATGGTTAGAACGACCAGGATTGGCCAAGATACTTGAGGATTAGGTGTTTTAATGACCTAAACTGATAAGGAATTTTGGCTTTCTAATTCTTTGAAAACAGCACTCTCAATAAAACATTTTATTATAGTCTCAGAGGAAATAAATATTTCCACTGTTAAAAATACATTACTTACTGTCATTAACTTCAGCACTAGCTTGAAGTCTGGCAGGACTGTAGCACAAACTGGTAGAAGGAAAGAGAAGACAAATCTAATTATGATATAGGGGAGAAGACATTTATTTTCTTTTTAAGGAACAGCTTCTATATGTAGTGAATGAACAGAGGAGACTGGAGAACCTGCTGCTATTTCCTACTGTGTATATGTAGCTTAGTGGGAAAATAATGGCTTTTGGAAGTGTGAATCCTTACACTGTATATATGTTTGATTGTAGAAATTACTGCACAATCAGATGCCAGTGAGATTCGACAGGACTGGAAACCAACATTCCTTAGTAATGAAGAGTTCACACAGTTAATGTTAGAGGTATATTATTTCTGTTTTTCTGGGAGTAGAATATTTCCTCACGGGGAGTCATTCCATGATGAAATTTTTCAATTTGAGGACGTTACTTTTTATTTTCATATTTTAATTGTAACTATACATTTTCATGAAGATAAAGTCAGACTTCCTATGTATGCAGTGTAATGCAAAACAGTTTTTCTTTTAACAGCATTTTCAACTACACGAAACATAGCATAAAACACAAAACAGAGCAAGTCCACAAATTGACATATTTACTGTCAAAGTAAATTGGATATTTTAAATTATCAGTATAAGGAAGGTAATAGTTAAATAAAGAGTTGTTTTGCATAAATTAAAATCTTAATTATAAAAAAGGCTCAACACACCCATGTAACTTGTGAGCAATAAAGTGTTTAATTTCTTTGCTTGTTACGCTTTCCAGAAATGGTGTGTGAACATTATGTTGCTAAAGAAGATTACATGAATAGTTGGATTACTACTAGAAATGACCTTGCAGTATAAGCTATCATTTCCTTGGAAATGAGGATAAGTCATTTGTATCTTGTTAGTGAAAAAATTTCTAATGATAGTTAAATGAAAAATACTAAAGTAAATGAAAAAGTATTTTTTCTTTTTATTTCATAAGTAAACCTTTTCTTTGAGGCACAGATTTGTAGTAAAAGGAGTAAAAAGTTCTAATTTTCTGTACTTAAAAAATTTTCAAAAAATCCTCTGTGGTGAATTTACATATTCTTTCCAACAAGTTAGTGAAGTAGTTGCTTCTTGTTTCTAAGGTGTTTTGTGGCTGTTTTTGGTGTTTCTCAAGTCCTCCTTAAAAATACGTGTTCGCAACTAGTGACTGTAAACCTAGGACAATATGATATGAGCTTTAAAATTTCCTGTTTAGAAATACAGTTCTGTCATGCTTTTATGTTTGGTAATGTTCAATTAAAAGATAGTTGTGTTGTGTTCAGTGGAAGTAAGTTTGAGTTAAGTAGAAGATAGGGCAATCAATTGTATCTCACAGTCTCAATAAAATCTTGCTACAAGTTTCTTTTATTGAGATTTGGAATATCAAGATCTTAAATACTGAAATTTATCTCACCACCTCTTTTACTTGTTCTTCTCTTAGTTTTTCCAACTCTTCTTGCTTTTATGTCTACCTCATTTGTTTGAATCTTCTGATGTTTAAAATAATGATGGAATTAAAAGTAACAGGCAGAGTGGAGGTGGGAGAAACAGTGGGTAGCTGTATATGGATTTGCTTCTGAAACCACTGATTATTTAAGAACAAAACAGTATGGGAATTGTAATGCTCACAGTGTAAAAGCAAGACTAAGAAGTTCTAGCAGTGAAAGGAATTCTAATTTTTATAATAAACTAAAATTGGTCTAAATTATTTTTCATGTTGAATATAGCTTAGCATTTTTTATATGCTCTGTTTCTTTTTATTTAACTGCCCATTATGTTTAATTTCAGGCTCTTGATGGTTTTTTTTTAGCAATTATGACAGATGGAAATATAATATATGTTTCTGAAAGTATAACTCCCTTACTTGAACATTTGCCAGTAAGTACAAATTGCTTTCAGTAACATCAGTTTCTCTATCAATGGTGTTTTGCTATGAGTACTATTTAATCTTTAGCCTTTTTGACATCATAGAAGAGATGTATGCTTTGTTCTAATGCTTCTGCTTTTTCTTCAACACACTCCCTCCTACTGGTCTGTCTCCAGTATTAAACATTTCCTTTGGAAATACAGAATGAGTTGGCACTCTGTTAGGCAGGATTATGAAGTGCCAGACTAGCATCAGTTTCTCTTCAACATAACTGAAATAACACAGTTGACTGCAGGGAGACCCTTCAGAGTTCACACCTATCACAGCCTCTACATGAGTCAGAAGAGTATTGCTGAAGAGCTATATCTTTGGAATTTTTGTAAACTACTGTTTTACTGCTTTCTTGCCAAAGAGATACATTGCTGATGGTTCTGCTGTTTAAGCTAGGTATGTACTTTGGTTTTTATCGCATTCACTCGTCTTTAATCTTGGTGGCATTGCTCACTGGTAAATTTAACATTCTAGTTAAAGTTACCTTTGAGTAATGCTATTCTGAAATGAGGCACGTTAATACTCAAAAATGCAAACAACTGATGAGTGAAACGGTGAGTTCTTTTCTGGAAGAGAAGGACAAGTTATGGTTAAAGGCTAGTTGTCTTACTGAGATAAGTGTATTTTGTAAAACTTGCAGTGGCATTTTTTAAAATGATTCTGCAAAGCATAAATTCCCGTAAGGTATGCGTGATATCAGCTTCTCAGAGGCACATTTGTTCTATTCTTCTAGGTATAATTTATATATTCTAAACATACATTCCATGATCCTTCTTTTCTGAATACTTAACCAAATGCATTTATGCATATAATCAGTTGCTCAGTTTTTCAATTGTATTGCATTTATCTCTGTTGTTCCCAGCTTTGTGTATGTAGTTGTGGAACTGCTTATAAAATGTATTCATTAAATCAATTGCAATTGGATATAATTATTGGTACCATAATAATCTGCCTGATGTAGGGAGGGATTGTCTTTTGTTCCAAGGTATCATTTCAATGTGTTGGATGCCACCAACAGGTTACAGTGCCCTAGAACAACAACCTTTAATTTCTAATTAAAATGCTTCTTTACTTGGAATTGTTGCATCCCAGGGAGGTCAGTACAAGCTCCATTGTACTTTAATGTGTCTGTGTATCTGCTGCATTCATAGTGTTTTTCATTAAATGTTTTACAGTGTCAAAATTAAGACAGATCAAAGCGAGATTTTTTTTCTTGCAGAATATTCATGTGTATGCCAGCAGGTGGCTTTGTTGAGTCAGTAATGTTCTTCTCAACTGTGGAATTGTTTTGCATTAAAATAGTAGGCTTTGTAACATTGTACGTCTTGCACTAGTTTAATGCTTATTAAATCTTTTTCTTACAGTCTGATCTTGTGGATCAGAGTGTATTTAATTTTATCCCAGAGGGGGAACATTCAGAAATGTATAAAATATTATCTTCTCATCTGCTGGAAAGTGATTCATTGACACCAGAATACTTAAAATGTAAGTAGTTATGGCGGGTTAACCCTGATAGGCAGCTCAGCCCCACACAACCACTCACTTGCTTCCCCCAGTGGGATGGGGAAAAAATCAAAAGGGTAAAAGTGAGAAAACTTGTGGATTGAGATAAAGACAGTTTAACAGGTAAAGAAAAAGACACAAGCACAAGCAAAAAGACATAAGGAATTAATTTGCTACTTCCTATCGGCAGGCAAGTGTTTAGCCATCTCCAGAAAAGCAGGGCTCCATCATGTGTAACTGTTACTTGGGAAATCAAACCATCTGCTCCCCCATCCTTCTTTCTGCAGCTTTTATTGCTGAGCACAATGTCATATGTTATGGGATATCCCTTTGGTCAGTTGGGGTCAGCTGTCCCAGCTGTGTCCCCTCCTAGCTTCTTGTGCACCCCCAGCCTACTCACTGTCAGAGTAGTGTGAGAAAACAGAAAAGGCCTTTGCACCGTCTAAGCAGTGCTCAGCAATAGCTGAAACATCCCTATGTTATCAGTGCTGTTTTAGTGACAAATCCAAAACACAGCACTGTATGAGCTGCTATGGAGAAAATTAACTCTATCCCAGATGTAACCAGTACAGTAGTTGTGTTAAAAATAATCTGCTTTGTATCACATGTGATGAGTTATGTTCTTCCAGTGTTACTTAAGCAGAAACATATGGGTGAGCCCTGAACAACAAGACGCACCTTTTTGCGGGTTTGTTTTTTTATTTTTTTTTGGCCTCCAAAGAGTAAAAATTTCAGTGTTGCATTGCATTTTACTTTGTTACTTTCCCATGTATTAGCAATGTTTGTCTTGTTTATATAGCTTCAATTTAGACAGTTGTAGCAGCTGGCAAGAATAAAAACATAGCAGCCTAATGGGTTTTGGAAGCGCATGCTTTAGTAAGCTTAAGTTTGGGGCAGCTGCTTCTTAAAATAGCTCTAGTTGTCAGAGGTTTTCAACGTCATTAGTATTCAGGCCCTTCATGCACAAATTCTAAAGGAGTTTTCCTTTTCTTTAGGTTAGCTAATATGACACTCGTTAAATCAGAGGCTGTAGCTATTTGTAATCACAACATTTACAGTATCTCAATAAAGTATGCGGGTTAATTATTCCTGCTTTACATTTCATGTTGCCTATGTGCTTCATCAAGCATGTAGCCTTTTAATTTGTTTATTCTTTTCTCAGCAAAAAATCAACTAGAATTCTGTTGCCATATGCTGCGAGGAACAATAGATCCAAAAGAGCAACCAACATACGAATATGTAAAATTTATAGGAAATTTCAAGTGTTTGAATAACGGTAAGTAATTTCAGCAATGTTAGAGTGGTATGCTTAGGCAGCTTCACAGCTAAACAGGCTTGGGACCATTGTGCAATACTTGATGATGAACTAAATCAGTCTCTCAAAAAAAAGAGCTTGAAGTGGAGTTATATCACTTCTATTTTGTTTTAATGAAAAAGAAGAAAAAGCGCTTATCAGGTATTACACATCTGTGTGTTTGAATGCAAAATGTAGTAATTGTTCTTAATGCTTTCAATTAAAAAAACCCCTAATATCTTGTAAAACATTTTTTTAAAAGAATGTAAAAGAAATTTAAGCAGACACTTCAAAATAAGGAGCCTGAATTTAGTTAAGCATAATCCATACTTAAGCAGGTGATTTAAGTAACTTGATGATCAATGGTACTGACTATGTGCAGTTCTCATTATGCAGTGAGCTGGGAAGTAAAATGTAGGTTTCCCCCCCATTTCAATTCTGTGCTTTCACTGACAGGAGCTACCACTCAGATGAGCGGTTGGGCCCTTACAGTTTTCTGCATTGGGTTCCTTCTCCCTTCCCTTGAAGTTATTTCTATTAGTTATGTACTCATATTATTCCTCTGTAACTACGTCTCTGATCTGTTTGACCAGCCTGTCCCAACTGTTTACTCAAGAGGCATGTTTATTTCCTCAGACAGACAAATGAGTTGTGCAATGTGGTCAGTTTCAAATCTTCATGAAGATCACCCTCAAAAATATTATAAAAAACAGTATCTTGTAAATAAGCCTATATGAGGAGAGCTTGAGACTTAGTGCCAAATGCAGGTATGTAATATTATAGGAAAGACAAGAAACAGTCCTGAAAAGGCCAAATACAGTGCTAGTCTTGGAAAGAGGATGAGTTGGGAAACTGCAGACCTGTTGGTTGCAATTCAATATTGAGAAATATTCCAGAACAAATAATTAAACTATATGTGAGCTTCAGGAAGCTAGCAAGGGATTGATTAGCAACCATTGTGGATATTTCAGGTGAAAATAGCATCAAATCAATTTGGTTTCTTCTACCAAAGAGTAACACACTGTGTGGATAAGAGGACAAAGCACAGATAAATTATGGACTTTTTTAATATGATTTGACAGTTATCATATCGTGTTCTCGCATACATGTAAGGAAGCACATATTAATGAAATTGCTGGAGAGTAGCTGCAGAAACTGGTGGGACAGGTTACCAATGCTGTCTCTCAAAATGGAGTTTTAATTGACTCCTGGATTTGATCAGTATTTTCATTAATGTTATGAATAATGGAACCTAGTTTGCAGTCATGAAATGATGCAAGAACACTAAAAACAAGAAGCATTCACCCCCCAAATTGAGAAAATAAATTATTTTGGGGAAAAAACCACAGGCATGTTGACTAAGAACAAATGCAAATTACTACATTTAGGAATAATAAACTATATGAATAGAGGAAAAGGTTACAGTCATCTAGATAGCAGTCCTTTAAAAAAGGAATGTAAACTGAACATGACCAAATCCCCATGACCAATCACCAAATTGTGAAAATGCAAAAGCCTTTCTAAAATACAGTCTAAACCATGTGAAATAGTCCCACTGCACTTCTTAGCCCCCACATGTCTTCATCCAGTTTTTGACACTTTGTCAAGAGTAAGTAAAGCAGTTGGAAAGAGTTCAGAGTAAATCAGTGAAAGCAATCAGAAATTTAAAAATCTAATTTACGAGGCAAGATACCTCTGAAGAACAAAGGATGAGTGTGATGGGTTTGCCCTTGGTGGGGTCCAACCCACACACATCTGTTCACTCACCACCTCCACCCCACCCCCCCAGGATAGAGGAGAGAATTAAAGGGGTAAAGGGAAAAAAGGACTCGTGGGTTGAGATAAGAACAATTTAGTAACTAAATTACAAATAATATTGAAAATAATACTATATACAAATATACAAATGAGTGATACACAGCGACACTGCCCCCCCAACCCAATGACCAAGGCTCAGCCTGTTCCCGGCTAATGATCCCGAAGCAGGGAGAGTCCCGAAACTGCACTCACGGAACGGAGATAATAGTCTGAGTGTCCCAGACCGAGAGCTAACTGGGGAGAGAGGGAGAGAAGGCCTTGGGAGAGGGACGACCTGGAGTGAGATGACCTGGAGCAAAAGAGATCCGGAACCAAAAGGGTCGATCTTCTGGAGGGTCCTCACCTATATATTGGGCTTGACATGTATGTTATGGAATAGATTATTGGCCACTTTGGGTCTCAATCCCAAACCTAAGATCAAATCCTGGGCTAGTAACTGGGGCTGTGCTTCCTCCCAGCTTCTCCTGCTTGCAGACAGCCAGAGAAGCTGAAAGACCTTGTCAGCCACATAAACATCACTTTTTATCAGCTTTCTTCTGAGCACAAATCCAAAACACAGCCCTTTGCTAGCTATTATGAAGAAAGTTAACTCTGTCTCAGCTTAACCCAGGACAACAAGGGATAAGATAGAGGAAGGAAATTACCTGTTTTCTTTCTGATGGAAAAAAGCAAGGAGCTGGAAGCTTAACTTCCATGTAGAAACTTCAGTAGAAGTTCTAATCTAGAGCTGAACCAACCAGTTAGGTTTCAAAGAGCCTGATTGTGTTTTGGACTCACCATCACTAGAGCTTAGTAAAGAGAAACTACATGGATATCTGTTGGAAATGAAAGATAAAGCTGATCTGTTTTGAGGTCTAGTCCATCCTTTGCCCCCTTTTGATTCTATCCATCTCTGTGGTTAAGTAAGTGAAATTTGTTAGTTTTCAGCTTGGTGTCCTGATTCTTTCACGTACATAATTGTTGTGCCTTTGATTGTTCTGTTACTCTGTATGTCTTCAGCTTGTGTCATTTGAATGTGATGGAAGCCTAGAAAAGATACTTACCTCAGAGTTCAAAAGAAAATTTAGCAAAACCTGATACAAAAGAGAAATTTTAAAGATATTTTTGAAGAATGTGTGTTCCAGTAATTTTTAGTAGTTACCAAGAAGGATTAGAATTGTTATTAGTTTTTTAAAAGTGCTTTGTCAGATAATATCATACTAACTTTTAGTTCTTCAAGAAAGTTCCTTGACGGTTGTGTTCCCATTGTTACTGTAGAACTACTATTCCTGTGCATATATGTGTATATATTATATGTAGCATTTTTCTTAATGCTTGCTAAGTTATAAACAAACCACATTAGATAAATATTTGGCCATTTGTTTTGTGGTATGACTGCTGTTTTCCTCCATGGTTATATTGTAATCTGTGTTGACCTCTTCTCCTCTGTCTTCCCTTAGTTCCCAACTCAGCACACAATGGATTTGAAGGAACTATTCAGCGTTTGCACCGGCCTTCGTATGAAGACAAAGTTTGCTTTGTAGCCACAGTTAGATTAGCAACACCGCAATTTATCAAGGTAAATACAAATGAAATAATTTTTATATCATTTTTAAATGTACTCTGAGCAGGAAAACTCCAGAGAGAATGCATGTAAAATTTCAGATATTAATGAAAACCATGAGGAATTTTATTATATGAAACTGAAAGTGTGTGTGTTTCTTGCTTCACACACAGATAGGTTAAATGTTAATGCAAAGCATCAAATGAAGTTATGATGAATGCCATTTCTAAATTGTCATATGAAATAGTAATGTGCAAGAATTAAATTTATAAGTCCATAGGAATATAATTAAGCAAGTTTAATATAAACAAAATGAAAGATAACACCGTCATTCCACTTCCACTGGAGAAATTAATAGTTCTAGTTGAAACTTGGATGTGAATTTTATGTTGCTGATGGTCTTGGTGTAGCTTGGTACAGAAGCAAATCAGGGAGGGCTTAGTGAAAGCTTACATTACTTTTCAGTAACTGTCCTGGGCTGCATCAAAAGAAGTGTGACCAGCAGGTCGAGGAAGGTGGTTCTCCCCCTCTACTCTGCTCTCGTGAGTCCTGCCATGGAGTACTGCATCCACCTCTGAGGCCCCCCAAAATAAGAAGGACAGGGACCTGTTGGAGTGAGTCCAGAGGAGGGCCACAAAGATGATCGGAGAGCTGGAGCACCTCCGGTTCAAGGACAGGCTGAGAGAGTTGGGCTTGTTCAGCCTGGAGAAGAGAAGGCTCTGGGGAGACCTTATAGCAGCCTTCCAGAATTTACAGGGGGCCAACAGGAGAGATGGGGAGGGACTCTTGATCAGGGAGTGTAGTGATAGGACAAGGGGTAATGTTTTTAAAATATGAGAGAGTAGATTTAGACTAGTTATTAGGGAAGAAAGTTTTTACAGTGAGCGTGGTGAAACATTGGAACAGGTTGCCCGGAGATGTGGTAGATGCCCCACCCCTGGAAACATTCAAGGTCAGGCTGGACAGTGTTCTGAGCAACCTGATCTGTTTGAAGATGTCCCTGCTCATTGCAGGGGGTTTGGACTAGATGATATTTTAAGATCTGTTCCAACACAAACTATTCTATGATTCTATGATTATTGCAATTCAGTTATAAAGAACTGCCATGAAATGTATATGGCACATGGTTAAGCTGCTGTCTGTCATACTCTTTGAACATTTAAATATTCTACCTGTAAGTTGAATGCACTGGTGTCTTAAGCTGAAGATTGTTGGTGGTAGCCTCTGAAGACATGGTCTATATACTTTGCACTTTGAAAGTAGTAGGGAGCCTGTGGAGAAGTCATGTAAACTTCTTCAGTTCTGTCACGGTGAATAGGATCTCTCCAGACTGCAAACTGCCAGAGAGCGTTTGTGGTTTATTTTTCTTGAAGCCATGGAAATCTTTCATCTGACATTTTTCTTCACGTGCGAGTGTAAATAATGTTCTTCCTGTTAGGCCTGCAGTTGATAGAGATGTTAAATGTGTAATTTTTGCTTCATTAAATACTTGAGGAAAAAAGACAAACCCATCATTACTTGCAAATATTTTTGTCTTTTAAAGTCTGACAGTTTAGAATGTACTATAGTAAAACTTATGTGTTTCTTACTTCTGGAACAGGACATTTGGAAGTTGAGGAATTTTGATTTATGATCTTTCAGGTGTCTCAGTCTCCTGAGGCTGAAAGCCTTACAGATTATACTGTGGCTGAAGTTTCATTCCTCTTTACCTGAACTTCTGAGGCCTTGGTGCAGAAGGAAGCTGTCATGTTACAGAGGCTTTAAGTTCCTATCAAGGGTTTCAACAATACTTATTTGTACTCTTTTGATACCTTCTGTTATTAATGAGGCTAGCATAGACTATAGCAAATAAGTGTCATGTCAGGAACTGTACCATCCCAGTAACTTAACTAAGAGATGCGTGATAGAGACAGTAATGAGATGTGTATTTTAGTACCAGATTGTCTTGATTGTCTTATTTAAGGTAGAACCTGCCTGCTCATCTGCCACTTTTTATTTGAGATGGTGTACGATTCTGGATCTCTTTTTTTACCTATAGTGTTATTTCTTAAGGATATATACTGCTTTTGCAGAAAGCCATAGTATTAATGAGAATCATCTCTGAAAGTTCACATTTTTATTTTCTGTGTATGACCCCACCACTTTTCTAACAAAATGTGCCACAAATTTTGCTCCCCAGTGAAGCAATTTGGCTCTACACATTCTTTAAACATTTGTCTTGTGTTTTGGCTGGTAAATGATTGGATCCTATCAAGAAGGCAGGACTAATACAGCCAAAAGGATTCTGCCAGAGTACTTTTTGTTACAAATGAAAGTATTTTATTTTCTAGATGCCTTGTTGAACAAGATAGCTTCTGCCCAGGGGTATTTTACAGTGGAATATCTGTAAATCATTAATATAAATGGATTGACTAGTTAGATCCTAACCTGCTGTCAGCTCCTCTCTAACAATGATGGTTTTACTGTGATTTTACTGCCTGCACTTATTTATGCTTTTGTTTTGACTTGTGCCAAAATAATTATATTAAAAGAAACAACAAATCAAAAGTATATCTTGAGGATACATGCTGGCTGTCATTTATTTTACTTTGCTATGAGTGGTGCTCTGATAAATGCTGTAATCTTAAGAAAGTAGATGAGCGTTGGATTTTAGGGGTAGTTTAAGTTTTGAAGATTGTCTTGCTAACTGGAAGTCACACCAAGAGTCATAAATTTGTGCCAAGAGTTATTTTGTTTATTACCTTCACCATATAACTAATTTTCTAGTCATTATCTTTAGATTTTACACCAATGAAGGTGAGGAAAAAACATGGCGTACATAGGTTCACTTTTTTCTTTCATAGAAAGAAAACTTAGAACTATATGTTTAAAGACCTGCAAAATATCCAACTAAACTCATTGGATTATAACCTGAAAGAGTGAAAGGGAAGGTGGTCCCTTTGTAGGAACAACAGTTAATCTTCTACTGTATTTTCCTGCTGGACTATTTTAGTTACAGATGTTTGCAGGGCAGCAGTGTGCTCGTCTGCCTGCATCTGCTGTGAATATTATGTCAGTGCAGCAGCGTCTTCCATGTTGTAGGCTTTAGGAAACTGTTGTGGAGTTGTGGTATCTGATCATCAACAGATTCTACTGTGTTCCTGGCAATGGGAATACTGTTGCAAGCTCCTTGAAGTGTGACGTACACAGGTTTCTGAAAAAGGAAGATTTGCTGGTCTCTTATTTTAATTCTTTGAGGGGTGTATGTGTATGTATGCATGTTTTCCATCATCCATTTTTCTTCTTGTAAGGTAGTACTAGAATTTGCAGAAGAACTGACTGAGGTATCTGGCTCTGCTACTGTCTCAGCAGGAGGCACGATACTTGGTGGGCATCTTCACCTCTCTGGAAGGGGACAATAGAAATTGACTGACGTGCACTGATTGGGCATATGAGCAGAATACATTTAAAACAATGTACACAATATCTTGAGGATTTGTTATAATAGTGGAAATACAATCAATCTCTTACTTTTCATGAGTTCTAAACATAAGAATAGTTTATTTGTAGTATGTGTGCCCTCAAGCCAAAGTGATTTAGAGTACTTTGTATTCACTAAAAGGAAGAATCCTATTCCTAAACTTAAAATTATGTGACCATCTTGCTAATGTGGGTTTTCACCCATTATAAGCATATACTGTGATCAGAGTGTCTGGTGAGAGTGTTTCATCTCTTCTTTTGCTTGTTACAAGTTAAAAGCATAACTGCAGACACTATTGATTTCTGCTTGTACTACTGTCTTTGTAGATACTGAGCTTGAGTTTATTCTCAATTAAGTCAACTGAGTGTCAGCCTGGCACAGCTGAGATTAGATTCTGCCTCAGTACTATGCATCTCAACAAACAAAACCAATGAAGCTGTCTAAAAATAACATTATAACTATTGTGGAGTTATCTACTAACTTAAGGTAAATCTCAGATTCAGAAGAGCTTATAAATTAGAGCAGTTTTGAGAGAGATTTTTATTCTTTTACTTTTTAGGAAATGTGCACTGTTGAAGAACCCAATGAAGAGTTCACATCTAGACATAGCTTAGAATGGAAGTTCCTATTCTTGGATCACAGGTGCAATTCCTTCTATGTATAGCAGCAATAGTAGCTGAATCACAGTGGTGGCTATAATATTTAGAGTTCACTAATCAGCATTAACTATTCATAGCTTGTGTTGGGTTTAATTTTTAATTTTTTTCAGAGCACATACTATAATCAAGAGAACTGATATAATGAAATAATTTTGTTTGGGATTTTTGTGTGAAAATAAAATGACGTGAATTTTTGTATTGATTAGGGCACCTCCGATAATAGGTTATCTTCCATTTGAAGTTTTGGGAACATCAGGCTATGATTATTATCATGTGGATGATCTAGATAATCTTGCAAAATGTCACGAGCATTGTGAGTACAACTAAGTTGCTAAAATGAGCAAGTTTGCTTTATAGATGTTTGGTTTCGGGTTTGTTAAATTGTACAACTGCTGTAGTGAAATTTTGTGATACATTCAAGTGAAGAGTCTTTACTCCCATTCATTTGACATTATTGCACACCTGATCTTCATATTTTTTCTTTTTTATACAGAACTACAAAACAGATTTAACTTTATCTTACAATAGTTAACTTATAGCACTTTTAATAAATAGTTTTCATTGTGGTAAATTGGGGTGCACAACACTAAATAATACTTCTCCAGTTCTTCCAATAGCATTTTGAAGGCTCTGTGATGTTCAATAAATGCAAAAAAAATTTAAACATGTAATAGAATAAGTTTTCTGTTTAGCTTTTTTTCTTTATAAAGCTGTATTTAAACTTTTTGCACATAAATTTTCACAATATGTAAAAAGCCCCAGAAAAATGGAAGTTGAATTCTGCAGTTCTCTGAAAAATACAGTGTAATTTTTTTTTTTTTGTAGAAGGCTACAGATTTAAACCTGTTCTTAATCACTGTCTTAATACTGGATTTAGACATGGTTTTGGGCCATGTGAAGCTGGGAAATAATGTTTATTATGTAATTGCAATAGTTACAGACTGGTAAGACAGTAAACTGTGTTGTTCACTTTTATAGTAATGCAATATGGGAAAGGGAAGTCATGTTACTACAGATTCCTGACAAAGGGACAACAGTGGATTTGGCTGCAAACGCATTACTATATCACCTATCACCAGTGGAATTCCAGGCCAGAGTTTATTGTCTGTACGCACACTGTTGTAAGGTAAGTTATTTTTTTGAAATCTGTGTTAGAGAAATTCTAATGGCATGGGAGCTGTATTGCTGGTATTTTTGGAAGTAGAGAAATCATAGCAGTTTAAAGAATCATTGGAAAACTTCCTGAGGTACTTGGTAAGCAAGGTAGCTCTGAGGAGTTTGGTTTTTGAGGTATGTTTTTTTCAATCATCCAAGAATATAGTAGTCCTGTTTGGTTTGTTCTTCTAGTTATGCAGAAGTGAGAGCAGAAAGACGACGAGAACTTGGTATTGAGGAGTCTCTTCCAGAGATAACAGCAGATAAAGTGAGTGTCTTATATAATTTTATTCTACCTCTTTTTTCTTTCCTACTAGAAATTGTATGTAAGCAAATACATAGCAGCAATAAGCATTTTGTCCTGTTACAGATAAAGTAATTATTTTGATCTCTAAATAATATTACTATTTAAAAGAAGTCTAGAAAGGGTGTTTGTTTAACTGTATTCTGCCTTGAACACTTGCCCTCCTCTTTTCAGTTCATTCACATATATGTAGTTGTAACATGGCAACATCCATAAATCTTTATTAAGATCTGTTTCTTGCAGAGTTTGATTCATAAATAAATGTTCTTCCTTATTGGAAGTACCCATAATCTGAAAAACCAAGGTTGACACATGAAGATGGCTTAAAGGAATTCACAAGACGAAAGCAGGAGCTGTTCCATTGGGTGACTCTGTCCCACTTCTTAGAAGTATACAAAATTGATTTTGAATTAATGTCCTTGGAAGCTCAATGAGTCTTAGATAAGACAGCTTGTGCAGATGCTCTGTCATGTTTTCCCCTGGCAGTTCAGAAATGTTTTCCCTTGGCAGTTCAACAAGTTTCATCTGACAGTGCTCCTTCTAGTAGAATTAACTCATCCGTTCTCAAATAAGCAGTTCACTCCTTACACTGGTGTTCAGAGTGAATTGAGTTGCTAAAGAAGGAGGTCATCTCAGCAGTCAGTTTGTGGCCTATGTCTGCGTGCATTTTGTCTTCTAGGCTCATATTGGCTTTGGTTTTGTTTCTTTTCCAAGGATAAAAGCTGCAAATGGAAACTGAGCTTACAGATATCTAACAAGTCACTACTTCTGCACAGTCACCCTGTAAGGGGGGTGATTAGACATGGTCTTAGATGCTTGCTAACAGAAATGTACGTTGTGTGCTGAATCAGATTAAATAATTGTTGTTTGTGTGTGTCTCTTCAGAGTCAGGACTCTGGATCCGACAATCACATAAACACAGTGAGTCTCAAAGAAGCACTGGAAAGGTTTGATACCAGCCCCACACCTTCTGCTTCCTCCAGGAGTTCAAGAAAATCTTCACATACTGCAGTATCAGATCATTCATGTAAGCACTGCCTGTTGAAAATATAATTGCCTTCCTAGTGAAGGCTTTTTCTACTTTACTTAGTTTAATTAAATGCATAACTAGTAGTTAATCATCATTCATGAGAAATGTGCAAATGAAAATGTCCTTTTTGGTGGTTCAGAAATCTGCCAACCACTCAGATGTTCCAGAGGTTGTATAGTGACTTCTGAAAGTACAGTAGAACACCCTATTTCAGTCCATCAGAGTGCGTTGTTGTTGGATAGTCAAGGTAAAAAAAGAGTCCCAAGTTTTTAGGGGGTTTTTTGTTCATTAAAAGCTTCCTGTGATTTAATTATTGCATTGCAGAATTGAGATCACTATTAACATGTCTCTTTCTGTTGTAACTCTGAACATTGCCAGCAACACCAACTAAAATGACGGTAGACACTAGCACTCCCCCAAGGCAAAGCTTATCTGGTCATGAAAAGACTGCACAAAGAAGATCATCTCTGAGTAGTCAGGTAACTCTTCAGAGAAAAATTTTGTACTTTTAATCATTGTAATTCACCTTTAAAAGGTATTATTAAATCTGTGTAACCTTTGTTTTATTTCTTCTGAAAACACATAATTTAAACTGTAACAGTTCCACTTGGAATACATGACTATCAGAATTGTATCATCAATATGCAACTTCAGTATACTACATGTTAAGGGAATACAATAATTAAGCATATAAGTATTTCTTTTTTTGGCATTGGAGTTTGCAAGATTGTGTATGAATCTGCTTTCACTCACACATACCTTCTTTCTATGATTCTGTATTTTTAATACATATGTATATAAGGAATGATATATATATTTTTCTCTATATATAAAAAATTGCCAACATAATGCTGTGTGTGTCCCTATAGAGAATTCATATAAATTTATGACTCTATTAGTGAATACTTTCATATAGTTTCTAAAATTGTGGTAACATGAGAAAATGTCATGCGTCATGTACTTGGTGCTCATCTTCCAGTTGAACTAATAATATAGTCACTTCAAAAATAGAACGCTTATTAAAATACGTATTTTTAAAAATTATTAGTTTAAGAAAAAATCAAAAGTGTCAACTTCCAAACTTGTTGAAAAAGTTTTTCCCTTTCCACAAATAAGACTTTTAAAACAGTTGTAATTTGTTTTCCTGTTTTATACCTCCTGCTTTTTTATGTTTTTAGCAGTGAAAAAATTATATATGCATTATGTATATAATCAATTGCTCTTGTGTTCTTAATTCTCTAGTATTTAAAGTTAGATATTTCAGGAAACATTTACTTGTTTTTATCGTATGTTTGTATGATGCTATTTTGGAACTGACACCTTATGTAAAGAAATATTTCATGTCAAGTATGAAGTTCATTCTCTTCCAGTTACGGAACAATTTTTTAAATCCTAGTCTTTAAGCTCCCAGTCTCTTGGACAACCAGTAGCACAGCCAACAATGTCTCAGCCTGCAACTTTACAGCTCCAATCTAGCATGTCCCAGGTATGGATTAAGTTGGTTTATTGTTCATTATTTTTTAAACAGTCTTGTTCTGAATATAAGGTTATTTGGTGCCAGACTCACCTTTAACATGATTCTCTTCAAATGAGCAAATTCCACAATTTGATATTTTTCATTTATTTTTTTCTTCCCATTATTTGTGTGGATATAGTTTTCGTCAGCCTTGGCCATTAGAAACACGGATGCGAACACAGTTTAAGATAAAATATTTTAGGACATGAATTTTAAAAAATCCATCAGCTATGCTGGTAACTTTCTACACATATGCTTGTAACACAAAGCAACTTAGTATATGAAGCACTTCTGTGAAAGTGGTATCAGGTCCAACTGAAGATCTAAGTCCTGTAGATAGAATAGAAGTATCAAAAGGTTCTTTTGACTTGTGGCCCATAGCAGATGCCTAGGGAAGAAGTGGCAAACATAGTTTGTCTCTGGGCTCAGCCTTCAACAGTTTTTGACTGAGGGTATTCCCAAGTTATTTGCATATGTTTTAGCTCTGGATGAATTTTTTTTTGGTAAACTGCTACAGTTCTAATCTTTCACCTGAGAGAGCTTTTAACATCCACAGTACCTTGTAAATTACTAAGGCTTTTTATAAAGTCGTGGTGATTTGGACACCAGTCAATTTCTTTTGCTATGGATTTCTTTTTTAGTTCAACAATTCTGATGCATCAATTAAATGTGAGTTCTGTGGCATTTTCATACTAGTGAATTTGTCCTCAGATTATGGCTATTAGCAGTTTAAAAAGCAGTACTTGATCTCTTTGCTACTGTGGAGGAATGTATTTACTGCTTGTAAATAAAATGTCATTATTTTTGCTCAGCTTTTAATTTATTCATTGCACTACAGCCTGTGTTTCAGTTTTCAGCTCAATTAGGAGCTATGCAGCATCTAAAGGACCAGCTAGAGCAAAGAACACGCATGATAGAGGCAAACATTCATCGGCAGCAGGAAGAGTTGCGCAAGATTCAAGAGCAGCTTCAAATTGTCCATGGTCAAGGACTCCAGGTGAGATAGTTTAACTCTTACGGTTTTTATCTGTAGAAAATTGAGGCATCTAAAATGAGACTTGGGCACTTAATTCCACAAAGCGGTCCTCCCTAGCCCCTGTCATCTGCCATCTGTACCTAATGTGCCTAAAATCCATAGCATCTGAAGCTACATCTTGCTTTTGAATGTATCTGGAAGCGCCCCAGTGTATCTTTTCAATGTTAAGCAGCTGAAGCCTGGCTCATGCTCAAATCTAAATGTAAAAGGCTGGGGTGGTTTTTATTTCTTGCAAAGTTTTGCAGCCATTAGAATATTAATCCAAAATGTGCAAGATAAGCATTTATTTCCTCTTTTAGCTCAAGCACGTCAAATTCATACCTTTTGTTTCTTAAACTGTCCTAACTATCAGGCTGTGGTCCTCCTCCACGCCTTTCTGGTGAAGTGGTTCTACTTTACGTGGTATACTGAAGTAGTTACTGAGCCAGAAAAACAGAAGTCTAGAGTTAGTAGTCAGTTAGTAGCTGACTACCTGATTTCTGTGTTTTAACCAGAATATTTTTTTCTAATATTGTCATTTTCTTTTCAGCAGCTATCTTTGGAAGAAAAGAATGACCCTATTGTTTTTTTCCTAGTTAAAAAAAAAAAAAAACAAAAACAAAACCAAACAAACAAAAAACCCATTCAAAACTAAAATACACCTTAAGGAAATAGTCTAAATATTTTCAGTGTGAATTGTGAATAAAGAGTAGAAAAAAAATATATCCTGTAAGTATTGAGTAAGTTGCTTAAATTCTGTTGAAGAGTAGGAGTTTCTGGCATGTGCCATTTTCAGTGTTTTATCATGTCTCGTGTAAACCTGCCAGCAGTAGACTGCCTTATAGATGACTCAAAAGGAGAGATTCACAGCTCTCTTCCCGTGCACTGTGGAAGGACCTTATTCAGCACTGTGGAAACTAGAGAAAATACCTCACTGCTGCACATTCTACCTTATTCCCCATCTTGCTGTGTAGTCTTGGGCCTAACTTTTTGTAAAGACTCAAATATTTTTGTCCTGAATTCAATTTATTTCAATTATGTTGGAAAGTTCAGTATAATCATTATGATTTCTTGATTGCCAAGGAAGATTGGTGCTATGCCTGGAACCATTGATTCTGAGTTTTTCTTCATTTGAATTAGTTTCACTGCTGGAGATCCTACAAATAGAAATGTGATCTCAAATACATTTTGTCTTTAGACAGTTATAGACTAAATTACAAGTTAGTCTCTAGGTAGTACTTTTTCTTTAAGAACAAATATTAATCCTTAATGTTTAGGGCTCTAGAAATCAGGATTTTGATTCTTATCTTAACAGTTACAGTAGAGTCTTTGAATACTGACCCTGTATGGCAGCTGGGCCTTTTGCTCTTGGGGGTTGCAATGTTGTTTCATCACAACAATTAAGATGAAACTTTATCTTATAATGATTAAAAATAATTAAGTTTAGTTTCTCTAAAACATCTTGAACAAGTAACAGATATTTCTTAAAAGCTAACTTGTAGATTTTTTTTTTTGTAAGATGTTCTTGCAGCAGTCAACTTCTGGACTCAACTTTGGTTCTGTGCAGCTTGCTTCTGGAAATTCTTCAAATGTTCAGCAGCTTACGCCAATAAATATGCAAGGTCAAGTTGTTCAGACTAATCAGACTCAAAGTGGGATGAACACAGGCCATATAAGTTCTCCACACATGATACAGCAACAGCCTTTGCAGAGTACTGCAACACAGGTAAAATTCTCATTATTGATTTTGATGGATAGAATATATACTCAAAACCATAGCTGAAACACAATAGCTTGTCTGACATCCTCCTCCCAAATTTTTTTGAACAATGTCCTTTGAGTCATATTAATTTCTTCATGTTCCAAGTTTTACAATTGAAATGCATTTATGTTCTTGATAATGCAATTTCAGATCTTGTTTTTATTTTAAGACTTAAGCATGTAAATAATTAATAATAAGTAGCTTTTTTGAAAGACCAGTATCAAGGAAACTTTTAGCTTGCCTTTTTTTTTGAATGTCTATGGATTTTCTGTTGACAGAACACCTAATGTGATCTGTACTAGGTGAGCTTGAAACCTGGTATCCAGACAGCAAAAAACTAGTAAAGCATAGGAGCGAGACAAGCATATATTGGTGCTTCTGCAGTTGACTTTTCTACTCTTGAGCAATTTCAGCCAGATGTCATAGGTGTATGACATTGGAATGTAATAGCCTTTTTCTTCTATGAGTTTATTCGGTTTCTTTCAATTCCATGTAAACTTTTGAAATCCACAGTATCTCCTAGTTCTACAGCTTTACTTTCTGTGAAGTATGTTTGTTTTTTAAACTTGACACCCAGCTCGTATACTGAAATACACATGGAGCAGCTATTGACTTTTCATCTTCTCAGTTGTACATGATTTCAAAGTCATCTTCTGCCACGTGTAACTCCACAGAAGCCTGTTCTTCTGTGTATGGAGACTCCTTATACCTCTGATCTCTGTGGTCCCCTTCCTCTGTACTTTTATCTGAATTCATAATTTCTTCTTGAAATTTGTGAAAAGGCAGACTAGTGGTGGAGAGTGTTACCATCTCAGCAGTAAGCTAGTTCCAGACTTCCAAGAAATAAACTGATTGACATGATGTGCATGTTTTAGTCTTAAGTCTGGCACAGAGGTGCTAAAGGAGTGGAAAATAGGATCTTGAATGAACAGTATGCAAGTAGCTGAAAAATTCAGGAGAAAAATAACCTGAACAGGGCTAAGCAATTTTCAGGTGTCCTAGGGCCACTCCCACTTCCAGATCCTCAGTCAGTAGAAAAACCTGTATACTTTAAATTAAGAATTCATTTGTAATAGAAGAACATTGGCAGTTGTGAAGTATGGGCAGTGACAATGAGGATGACAGCTGTAGTACCTTGCTATTTTCAAATTACTATCTCATAAAATATTTTTTCTTTTCAGCATAATCAACAAAATGTACTTAGTGGACAGAATCAACAGTCTTCTCTTGCCAGTCAGTCGCAGAACACAGTTTCAGCACCTTTGTATAACACTATGGTGATTTCTCAGCCAACAACAGGAAATGTGGTCCAGGTTCCTTCTAGCTTACCACAGAACAGTAATCAGAATGCTGCTGCAGTTACCACTTTTACACAGGATAGACAAATCAGGTAAATCTTCAAGACCAATATTCAGATGACTTGCTACAGTGATATGCTTACATAGCTACATCATATACAAAAAGGAACTAAAGTAGCATTAAAAAATCACAATTTATTATTTTAACTATATATTAATTCAACTGTTAAAATAAACTCTGCCCTAAATAACATGTTCACAGGCTTATCAAAACCCATGTTGTTCTAGCAAAGTATTAACCTGACAAATCTGCATTTCTCAAGTGCATGTGATGCTTGATTATTTTTTTTTCCTGAAGAGACTCCAAATGTCTTTTTCTATTAACAGATTTTCTCAAGGTCAACAACTTGTAACAAAACTTGTCACAGCCCCAGTAGCATGTGGAGCAGTAATGGTACCAAGTACTATGTTTATGGGACAGGTGGTGACAGCTTATCCCACTTTTGCTGCCCAACAGCAGCAGCCACAGACTTTGTCAATAACGCAACAGCAGCAGCAGCAACAAAGTCAGCAAGACCATCAGCAGCAGCTCACCACAGTTCAGCAACCAGCTCAGTCACAGCTGACCCAGCACCCCCAACAGTTCCTACAGGTAATGCAGCATTCTCCACAAAATTTTGAAAGTCCTGACACTTTCAGCATTGCTAGCTTATCCTAGGGGTGCTTTATCTGAAAACAGAGCGCTTAAAATAGTAACTGATGAACAAGCCTGATGCATGAGATAAGTTTATTCTGTAGCCGTTCTTTGAAATCTTACTACTTAAAGGAGAGGTAGTCTTTCCTGCAATTTCAGCCTATGCTTTCTCCTGTTTTATATCATCTTCTCTTTTAATTTCTGCTCTTGATTGAGCATGGGATGAAGAAACAGATGTTTCCCTTTAGAACAGCTTGCATTTTCTTTGCACTCATATATTAATGCAAGAAGGTATGAGAGGTGGTCTCAAATAGAATTAGTTGATCTGGAAAGCAGCATGCAGCCCAAAGCAAGACGTGTCCCCATAACATGAAGCGTGAACATCTGTCTAGGCTACAGGGGAGCCTGAGCAGCAAGTAACCTTGTAAGGAGAGAGTAGAGAAGAAACTTATTTTAGGGGAGCTAGAAGAGAGATTGGATCAAAAGAGAAGGAAGACAAAACTCACAGAGTTTAGAGACAGATAGGAAATGCCTACAAAAAAAGGAGGAGAAGAGAAGCAGAAGGTAGAAAGAATTGATGGGGAAATCTGTTGCCATTTGTTGATTCCAGTTAATCACTGGCGTGTAGTTCACCCAGCAGGTCATGTTGGTGAGGGAGATGTAGTGGTAGCTAGAACACTAGAGAGGAAGTGCCTCCAATAAGGCATGGGTTAAAAAAACCTCATTGTGGCCTCTGATATTGCCTTCTCCAAAGAAAGATAGAAGTCCATGTAACTGTAATGGTGTAGTTTGTGCACATTCTTGACATTCTTTAACTACTCTAAGAATGTGTATTTTTTTTACCCTTTAAGATTATACATAATTAAAAATCCTTATTTTACAAGTATTTCTTCTTTCTTACTATGTGTGGTCTCCCATTTGCACTAACTGAGGGATGCTGTGCATAGGTGGCATATATAAAAGCAGTAAGTAGTTGGAGGCTTAACCTGCATTTATATGCACAAGGAATGGTTACGGTTCTGTTTAGGGCTGAGTAAAATTTTCTTTCACCAGGTCATTGATGGAAAATATTGACTTGTTGAAAAAATCTTTCATGGAAACATACCAATTTCAGTCATACATCAGACAAAGGCTTTTCAGCTTCAAGTTGACTCTCAAAAAGAGAGCTGAAGAATACCTAGTGATTTGAATTTCAACACTCATTTGTGTAGTGGGAGACTCTTGAACTGAATCAAACTAGAGCACAGGTTTGAATGTGTTCTCTGACAACTCAGATAAATACTGTAACAACAATGCTGTTTAGCAGCTTGGTTGTGTCTGTAACTCTGTTTCTAAATTTAAAAGTTTGTACACTTGATCCTTACGAAAAACAGAAGATTTGTGAAAAGTGAAGATCTCCAAAGGTCTGTTCCTGTCCTAGAATTTCCTTCTAGGCAAAAGTTTAATATTTTTAATACAAACTATTATAGAATTTGAAGTGAAGCAAATGCTCTTTAGAAATTGAGAAGAGGAACAGTGCTTTTTTCCTGCTTCTGCTCACCGGAGCTTCTTACAGTCTGATTCTGTCAGAATCGCAGCAGGTGATGTAGTTTACTTTCTGCTGCAGAATGTGTTTCAGACATCCAAAATGTGGTAATGAGATGTCCAAATGCATCTGTACCCATTCTTCATTGCTTTTCTTCAGTAAGCATAATCTTTTGGTTCTAAGACAATTAATATTGAAACCAAGTACTATTTCAGTAGTAAGTAATCCTATTCAAAGGGTCTGCAAATGCGGCAGTTTCTTGACTGTTCATTTTGGCTGTGGGGGATGCATGTCATTTGTGCCAAGTCATGCACTTTTTCATTTGACTGCAATGACAGCCACCTCCACTTGTTCAGATAGATTCCTTAAGCCCTGTTATGCTCTTGTGGTTTGAAATAGAGACAAATTGCCATGTGTTCCTACCCATTGTCACAGAAAATTACGAAGACCAGTTACAGATGTTTTATTAATTGGCCAGATGCTCTAATTAGCTTTATCAGTATGAACTAATCTTTTGCATTGTTTGCTCAGCTTAAATGACCAAATCAGAACTTCATTTTGATTGAAGCCTTGTGAAAAGTTAAAAAGCAGCTAGGCCTGTGTTTCTCAGTGCAGCAGGAAACGTAATCTTTTTTCTGTTTGCATGTTTTAGACATCCAGGTTACTTCATGGAAATCAGTCAGCTCAGCTTATCCTCTCTGCTGCTTTCCCACTACAACAAAGCACTTTTACTCAGTCCCACCACCAGCAGCATCAGTCTCAGCAGCAGCAACAGCAGCAGCAACTTTCACGACACAGAACTGACAAGATGACTGATCCCTCCAAAGTTCAGCCACAATAGTGTGGGGCTCTGCCTCTTTTTGAAACAAACTACCAGGAGGAGGCTGCTACACAAGCAGTTGCACTGAGGCTACAGAGGTACCAGTACAAAGGCTTTCTAACACCACAGTGTTGAGATCTAACTTCTGGAATCTGTTAAGAAAAGCCACAAGATGATGATGGGGACATGGCCAACTTTGACGGTTGCCCCATTTTCTGTGTTCTAAAGGATCTGCTGCCATGTGTTAATTTGTCCAGGTGAAATATCAAAATGTGACTGAAGTGAGAGGGATGCTGAAAACATTGGTATTTTTATCAATCCTGTACATTTTTGAAGTATTAAAATGGACATGGAGCAATTGTTTGAATTATCAGAAAAAAAAAAAAATGCCAGGATTATAGTCCAAAAACCATCTAATTTTTTTCAGATGATTATGGGACAGTAAATATTTTGAAAATGTTGTGTGAAATCCAGTTCTCTGTTGTACAGATGCTGTAAGATATTGTGTATATGTCTGCATACAAGGAGAAAGAGCAAACTATTTTATATGATGCATGAAAATGTAATCTGTTATTTGTAGGTTTGAATATGTTTCCCTAAATTCTCACGCCATACTCAGACTAATGTTTTCCTCTGTTCTGCCCTTTAGTTTACAACATGATGCATCATTATTTTCACCCTTAATGTGGGCACAAGTCTCTTGTTTGTGCTTTGTCTGTAATGTCAGGGTTTGTTCAGTGAGGTATAGTGTGTTGGTTAGTTGACTTCTCAAGGTTAAATATTGATGAAGCTGTTTGAACTGGTGATCATGCATCAGGGTTCAGGACATTCAGATTCATGAATATCATCCATCATTTCGTAATTATTCCATCATTTTATTTGAAAAAATAGGAATTTGCACTGCTTTCTTGCAGATGGTTTAGAATTTTATTCCCCAAAGCTATCTTTTGATATAGTTCGTAGTTGGAAATATTTATGTAAAAGGTTTAAAAAAATGAGAGTAATTTTCAAGAATGTTTCAGTTATAGGAGTAATTTGCACAAAAATATATTTACATTTATTAACCTTTTTGGCACTTTTTAACCACTTTCTCTGTGGTGAGAATTGTAACTTGTTAAAACATGTTGGAAACTTTTTATTCTCCTTCAAAAATTAGTCAGAGCTAATTCAGGGTCATTTTAACAACAAAACCCATAGTGCCTTGATTTTAATTCAGGTGATAATGTTGTACATCTTGAATTACAATGTCTAGAATCTGTAACCATTTTCAGTTTTGAAGTCTTAGTATATTGTCAACTGAGCTTCTGTAACTACTTCATAGATACTTCTGTATGGTTTTGATTTTAATAATGGTCTGAGTTGACAACATGAGCATTTTTGAGTGGTGCTCCCCCTCAAATGCTAGCCAGAAACAGAGGGGGTCTCTAAAATCTCAGACCTGGAAGGTAATACTCTTCAAAGATCAAAAAATCTAGGAATATAGAGCTCCTTTATCAGGAGAAGGAACAGTAAGCTGATTTTTTTATGTTGGTTTTTTTTTTTTAATCATTTTCGTAGCATTTAAAGTGCATGTTGGAGGAGATCATGATTGCATTTAACACTACCAGGCTATTGATTTAAGAGATGCCACTGAACTAAGACTTCAGAAGGCAACTTCACTTTATAAAGAAAATAAAAAGTTCCAACAGATAAGATGTGCTATTTTAAGTAAACGTTCACTAGTTTTTTATGATACTAGAGAACTTCAGAGGAAAATGAATAAATGCTGATAGATCCGATAATTAAAAACAAAAACAGTAAAAGCAGTTAAAATTAGTAGTAGGGAGAGAAAGCTGGATTAATCTTGAATAGTGAGGAGGCGTCGAATGAATGTAACCAAATTGTGATGGACTATTTTGTACTATGAAACAGTTTGATTGTATTACTGGGTGAACCAAACCCATGGGAAGGTATTACCAGTTTAGCCAAGCACTTGATACAGTTGTTTGCGTGTTGAGGCTAGCCTCTGCCTCTGCACTCATCTCACCATTAGATCACTGTTATTCCCCAGTTAAAAACCAAGAGTTTGGCACCAAAAAGCACAGTAGTGAACAAGGAAAGGAGAGTGTGAGAAATACAGTACCAAAGAGAATCAGATTGCTTTCTGCTGCAAGAAGCCTCTTGCACCCTGGAGCAAGGAACAGATGCCAATACCAAACATAGCACGGAACAACACCTCCCATTCTGTAAAGGGATTTCTGGCATTCTCTGGGCTGGAATATTTGTCAGAAACCTGTTTCGATAAAGTTCTATGTAAAGAAATCCTGCCTTGATCTACTGTCTCTATCACGCCATTCCACCTGTTTCTAAATTAAGCTGCATTGACTAGAGGTCTGTGCTGTTGGTACTTCTGCTTAATGGAAAATAGGTTAGATAAAAAAATCTTGTAACCAATTACAATAGTAATATAGCACTAAACAAGAAAACTGGGAGAGCTTTAATAGTGCTGTTAGAACTATTGAATAGTGGTAAAATAGGTTTATTAAGCTATTATACTGAGAATTACAGAAAATAGAGCCAGACGGTTAATGATGCAGCTTTTTATATGAAGCTTCGTTTAAACTTCCTTCCTGTTTCCCCCTTCCCAAATACTCTGGTGTGCTGCTATAGGTCTGTCAGTAAAAAGGCTAAACTAGGTGAAAGAAACTTAGATGATGACAATAGCATGGCTGCTGAAAGAGAACTATAGAAATGTACGCTTTGATCAAGAAGCTTTTTGTAACCTCAGAGAGAGGTCATTTAATTACAGAACTACCAGCTAGTGGAGAAATTATAGAAGATGGGGAAATTCAAAGAAACTGGAAAAAAATGGCATGCATTTGAAAAATTCCTGCCACAAATCAGGCAAACTTTTTAGAAAAGTGAGTATCTAAAACTTGGTCCAGATTCTGTGCAAGGATGCAGATGCTTTGTTTCACAGCTACTGACTAAAAAGTGTATATTTAAAGGGTCTGCAGCTTCCCCTGTTGCTGAATCAATTGCTGAACTGTCCTTGATTTTTAGTGGGAAGAGGACCAGGCTATTGCCTCTTTCTTAATCAGCCTTTTGCTTCTGCCCAACTCATTTACTTACAGTCATTATTTGCAACATCGTAATAAATAGCATGATAATGAATGCTGTGATGATGCAGGTTTTGGAGTATAAACGTTACAGAATGACTGTGACAGACGGGAAGGAGTCTGTTATGGAGAGGGCTGTATTTATGAAGACACGGGCTGTGCATAATGGAGTGAAAAAGATGGCATAGTTGCACGGAGTTTAGGAGACAGACATTGTTTGCCTGTAATGGGTGAGGATTTGAAGAAAAAGTTCTAGGATAACTTCAGAGAAAAAGAATATAGCTATTTTTATATTATATTTAATATATATTATATTTGTATATAAATA